GTAGGCGAACTGTTGGGGAGGAAGAATGTTGAGCTCTGGGTGGGTGTTGATATAGCGCTGCAGTTGATGAAGGACGATCTTTTCTAGAAGCTTGGATACGATGGGGAGTAGAGATATGGGGCGATAGTTAGAGGGACATTCTGGATTGCCTTTCTTGAAGAGGGGGAATGCAGACGCTACTTTATATATGTCTGGAAAGGAACCGAGGGAGAGTGATTCGTTGAAAATGAGACAGAGGGGACCGGCTAGTTCTTCTGCACAGATCTTCAGACGGGAAGGGGTGGGAGTTCGTCGGATCCGGTGGATTTGAAAGGGGAGATCTTCTTGAGGAGCTTGCAGACTTCAGTGGTAGTGACAGGGGTGAATTTTGCGAAACTGGTGAGTTGTCGGAGGCCTTGGGGGATTTGCAGGGAAGGAGGTCGCTCTGGAACAGCAACAACAACTCCGTAAAGAAAGATAATGTCAAATAAAAACAGTGAAAAACACAGAGATGCAAAGGACATGCATGTCATCATCAACATAATTATATACATTATTTTTTATTTTTCCCGTAGCTATGCAGAAGACGTTACTTCAGTAACGTCTGGCGCTAGCCAGGGTCCACACAGCTTTATTCCCACATCCGCCAACGTCCTTCACAGTTCAGTATGGGACCGACATTGGACACCGCATGCACCTTATCGGAGCCCCAACTGGAAAATATCTGTTTGTTAGGAAGGTCATACTTGTACTCAGGGAGTAGTACAATACCTATACTGGTATTGTACTACTCCCTGCTTGTACTTACAGCAAAGGAAGAAATTATGTATTCCTCATATATTCCCGTACAACGTCTATCTCGGCGTCTATCACTGACTACAAGAACGCGGAGAAGAATGTCGATATGATGCGCCATAACTGTGTGGCTTGTTGTCCAGGCGCTGGTAGCATTAGTGAGTCGTCACCACTGCAGGAATGTACCATTTCCTGGCTACCAACATCCAAACAAGTCACTATCCTGGCCAGTGCCACTGGCACACTTAGTAAATAGCAAATGGACAGTACAGGTGATTGGGATCAAAGCGTTCTTCTGTGCTGCTTGTGATAGATTTCTGTCAGATTCCGTTCAAATTTCTTCGTTCTGAGTTCTTTTACCGGTAGGTGTTTATGGGTGAGAGACACTCCAGCACTACGGCCGTGACAAACACTCTCCGCGCTGAAACCATACACCACAGGCGGAAACCGCGTTTCACCCCCAGGGCGGCTGATCGATCTAACCACCGAGCGGGTGCATTTACCCGAGCCGGGCAGTGGTGGGTCAGTACATGTAGTCCGACCCGATCCCCTTGTGGGGACACCCCAGATCATCTCAATTCACAGTGGAACTTTAACTAATGGGCGCGATACATCATTATAATTATGCGGTTTTTGATTTTACTAGTGCGACCCCGGCTCCACAGAATATTCTTATAAGGCCAAAACAAATAATGACCTTGTTTCCGGTCGGCCGACCGGGCCACTTTTCCCCAAATTCTGAAACTTTTTTTGGTCCCAAATGGTGGCAATGCCATGTGTGCAAGTGCACTCAACGAGTCATAACTCAGTCAAATCTCAACCGAATTCCACAATCGAAACACCTACAAGGTAGCAGAGATTCTCAGCTGTCGGCTCGAAAACCTCCGGGGTCGATACGAGCTAGAATAACGGAGCTGGAAGGACTCGAACTGTTTGCTTGATTTCTCAGGATGTACGAAAACAGGAGTACACCACATGCTGCACAAGAACAGTGAGTCAGTCAACTTTGACATTGCTCCTCGCCATGATATGTACAATGCACATGTGTAGGTGCTCCTGTCCATCAATACCACAACGCGTTAACGATTGTGGAACCAAAAAAGTAGCCAAAAAACTTTCATTCCGGCCGACCGAGTCTCCTTTTTGAGGGGTTACCGACCGGAAACAAGCCTATTTTTGTTTTGGCCTATTAAATATGTAAGTCTTTTACAGGGTGCCTTAGGTACAGCGTACATGTAAGTGCGGGAAACAGTAATTAGTTGAATGAAGAAAACGGAGGCTGCCTGCTGGCATTATGTATTGCAAAAGAGGTTGCGTAGAAGGCTGTTAAAAGGTGGCTGCCTGGCAGCATTCCACTCATCAGCAGCCAGGTAGGGCAAAAAATAGAAACCTTGTCTTGAAGAAATATTAGGTAGGGCTAAAGCGAGGGTGTACTGTCCATAGTCGAGGCTTCCGAATGGTTACCATTAGACCTGAGAACAAAAAAGCTCTGCAAGGAGGGGGCAGAAGCTGTGCATGGTACAACAGGCTACATAATATTCATTGTTTTCTTGAGTTTCTTCCTCAAAAGGAAGTTTTCAGTCACCGTGCCCCCCCCCCCCCCCACACACACAGAATGGAGGTCTCATGGAGGAAGGAAACACGCTTGTTGTCAATTTTGATGGAAGCGGAGCACCGACCAATGTCCCGTAACATACATGCACGTGTACCTCTATTGAGATCGAAGGCCGTCCATCATGGTCTCTGCTACAACCAGTTGGCTGCTATCCGACAAGTGTTTGTTGCCCGACAGACTAGCGTTACAGGCGACCAACACATTGACAGCGATGCACATTGAAGTCGAACGGAACAAACATCCCTGATCTGTTAGATGTTCAACGATTTGCTCGCTTGTCACTGAATTCAGTGACTTGTGCTCGAGCCTTTCCTCGTGTGCTATATTCGAGACATTCATTACGTTGTTTTTACTGGATGGTCAGTAACCTGCCATGTACTGGTGATGGCCAAAGGGTGGTTGGTCCTAACTCTTAATGCTCATGCTACCAATCTTATCTATACCCTATTGCAGTCCATGGTCTTGGCTAGGACATCTGAGAGTAGATGTAGGAACTAACGATCACCATATTGACGCTGATTGTTCCCCTCGCTCAGTAGTCTTAACAACAGGTCGTCGTGTTGTTCGCGGGCTGCTTCATTCGTCTGCTGGTCGCGTCAAAGATTAGCTACGGACTGCCACACCACAGTTGGTCACGCTCATGACTCACAATCTGTGCTGCGAGCGTCAACTAAACACTTGATTCGCTCTTTGTATTTTTGCAAGTCAACTGTGGCAGACTATGGCGCATCTCCACGCGTATATCTGCCAGTGCCAACCAGGTAACTGGTTATGTAGCTATTCCAGTCACGACGAACTAAGGGAATGTGGAAATTCTGCTCAGAGCGGCTTGCTACTCCCCTGCATAACCGCGCCGCGTGCTGCTGAAACGTGTCATTGTCTCCAGAGACGAACGAGTCGCGCGTTAACATCGTTAGCTATCTCATCTCGTTATGGTCGGCCTGCCTATTTCCAGATGGCTCCGACTCGCTTGCTCGCCCAACCTACCAGCCTGCACTCGACGTACTCGGCAACTCACAATGTCGCAGTGGGTGGTCCTGCAGTACCGACCGTGCAGGTTTCTCCAGGACCCGATTGCTGCAGCTAGCTGTGCAGTGTGCTACACACACTGTCATGCATGCTGCAGTCTGGCCTCATTCACACTGGTGCATTCCTTGCATCAGCTAGATCATAGACCATGGCATCATACTCATAGTCCATGGCATAGGACGATGTAGATTGTAGCATCCTTCCTGGAAGAAGAACAATGTCTACATGACATTGCATACGTGAGTACTAGTATATTTTTACTAATTTACATCGCATTGCAAAGACATTCTAACAGCAAGCAACATGACTGTCGACTGTACAGTACAGTACACAGTCATTGGAGTTACATGTAGCCTACAGTTCAGTGTTCTGCTCGAAGGACAGATAGAACCTCTGACGTCGTTCTGGTAGACAGGACTGGAGGCTGAGTGGAGCGTAGATGTAAACTTAACGGGGGATGTGTGTTGGAGTGACTCACAGTATGCTTGTGTTGGTGTGTGCGTGAGTCAGTGGGATACGATGTCGATGATACTAACTCTACCGACTCTGTGGAACGCAGGCAACACTCACACTGCACTGCTCTGGTGTCACCTTTTAGTTCCGCGACTCGTTGCCTCCTGTCTAGTGTTGGATGTTTGCACGCATTTGGCCCCTATACTATTGTTGCTGCTGCATTGATATAGTGAGCACTGACAAAATGTTGCTAATGCTAGAGCCTAGGCCAGGGATAGCTGGAGTTGTAGTGGTGTGGCAGCTATCCCAACAGTCAACACGCTGATATGCCAATGATGTCCACATGCATGCACGGTACATGGTACTGACATTGTCATTACTTTGTAAATTGTAGGTCTGCGCAGACCAAAGTTAGTTGCCTGGATCTCTATCTATTGTCACAGCAAAGTGTACATACGCTTTGCACCAATCACTCACCAACAATCTTGATAACAGACAGTAACTGTTACTGTATCAGGACGTGTACAATGTACCGTAGGCACTGTCCTCCTACAATACTGCATATTGGTGACTGGCCGGTGCTGCTACAATGATCTAGAACTCCGTCTCTGCTAAATACGGCCTCAAGGCCTAGGCTGCACGGGAAAGTACAATAGCAGAGACCGCAGTACAGTGACAGTGTGCATGATATTATTATGTCGATGAACATACATGTACATGTAGCCAAGGCCAATGTACAATCTATTACCAGTCCAACAAGTTAGTTAGTTACGCTATAGTCAGTGTCACAAAGTAACAGTCAGTCCCGCGTGCAGCCAACGCCACCAGCTGTACTCGTATGTGTGTGACGGAACCAGTAAGTAACACTTAGTTGCAGTGTGCGCGAAAAATAGTGTGTATTCACTATTGACATTGTGACGATCGAGCATATGCATGCGCCAATAATGATGATGTCCGCTTAGTGGAGCCGGGACGCGCCGCATAGCCACGCAGCTAGCCTGCAGAATCGGAGAGCAGCAGATGTACGCACTGCGGCGTTCAAGACTTCACAACGCGAACCCTTACCTATCGTCGCTGCACTGAGTTGAGTGCTGCTGGCACGGTACGGGTTGCGTGTAAGTAGGACGTCTTATCGCGCAACGGAGCAGGACTCAGGCAGGGACGTCAGTCGTCTGGTGGTATTTAGTCACCGAGCAGCAAAAAGTCTTGTGGCATAAGCTACTTCAGCTAGTGGGTTTCAAGCGACGGCTTGCTGGCATCTGCTTCTCCTAGTCTACTGAGCGCTTCGTCTTGTGTGATAAACTCACTTCGAGGAGAAAAAAGGTGCGAAAAGCAATTGACGCCTAGCTAAGGAAGTCTCAGGTTGCACTTGTGCTGTATGTGCTGACAAGTGGCCTAGTTACTTGCAATTGGATGTTTGATGGGACGAGGAGCAAATCATAGCCTCACCGACGCCACACAACACTATCGCCCGTGAGATTGCTACTGCGGAGGCGATAGAGACTTGGAGAGTGTTGCAAACAGCACATTTCCCGAACTCCCAATCTCTGCTGAGGCTGCTGGTCCATTTCCTGTCAAATCATTGGCTTTGTATAATAATACGTGTGCTGCCTGTACTGGTATTGCGTGCGTTCGATGAGAAGTAACCTCCACATCTGTTCCGGCGCCGATCGATACACTTCTCTGTAGCATTTCCCTCCCCGGTCTGAACTCACAGTCAGTCTTGCTCATCATCGCTAGTATTCTCATCATGGAAGTCAGACGAGAACTGAGCCTGCGCTACTCCGTTGCAAGAGCATTGCTCTGTGCGTTGCTGTGTTCGCCGATGGTGTGCGTTCCCCAGACCGGTGAGTTGAGATACATACATGCACTCATGTAATCACACCTTCCCCTCCTTACCGTATACCCTCTGGCTCTAGTTTTTACATGCATGCTTGGTCTGGATAGACTTCGCGGTATGTACAACACGACCCAAAAATTCCTCTACAATAATTGTCGTGTTGTGTGGCAAAACCAATACGATGTTTGTTTTCTATGTCCTCCGTAAATAACGTTATACATGTACGTAATTTACTTCGCAGCAAAACTTCTGAACATCAACGTCTTGATCATTGCGTCTCGTGGCACATTTCTCCTTTCACTGCTGACTGCACTGTCCGGCTGTCAATTTCCTGCTGTGGTTGACGCGGAGGAAGTCGAGTTGTCTGCCGCGACCTGCAGTTCTGGCGCGTCCTTGCCTTTGCGGCGTCACTCTTTGCTGCCCGATGGCATGGCCTGGCCCTGGGTCAGACGAAGTGTGCTTGTGTTTATACTGTCTTATAGTATCTAAGTATTATCAAAATACGCGTATTCACTTGGTATTATGTTGTGTGATGGTCGAATCGAAGGTGCTGTGTGGGTCCTCAGACCCCGGCCTGACATCTATCTGTGCTTGGAGTAGGGAATCGGGACAGGCCGTCACTGTCGAGCGTTCAGGCGAGGAGTTAGATCTAGGACAGGTCAATCGTCGGGGTTTGTGGCAGAAAAAGGAGTGAAACGACGGCAGTGTTTGTGGCGTGTGGAGTAGATCTACATGCAGCCAGGGTGTGCAGTAGTCTGTACTGGGTCTTCTACTGGCTTTCGTCTTCAACTTGAACTTGAAGGTCATTCATTGCCTTGGTTCTGGTCTCTGACTCAGTAGATGTACCGTTAGTTGTCCACCATGAATGATTCCAGTCGGCGGTGTAGAGATGGGTTGTATTTTTTTTTTCAATCATGGTGGCACGTGGCCTTGGGCCACACGTGGTCGAATTATTCTTTTGGCCTGGATCTGGGGACGTGGAGTCAATCACGGCGAATGTGGGGATACATTTAATTCAAGTGTCGGTACCATGTGTGTTCTGTCGAAGCGCTCGCAGACATAAAAACAGTGGCCGATGGCGAAAGTGTGTACCTTGTAGCAGTCATCGTACCTGGCGATGTTCAGCCACTAGAGAGCGAAGTAGGCCGATCATCTGTTTCCCTGCGAAACCTTTACTGGCTTTAGACTTTATCACAGCGTGCTTTCCAGGCAGGATTATACTTTGTGGCTGTTAGACACTCGACAACCAGGGGGCCTTATGTCGGGAAAGCTTGTTGTGAAGACGTCGGGAAGATGTTAATCAGTTTCCAATGCTGTGGCACGAGAAAAACGTGGAACCGGTCAGGCGTTGCTTGTCCTACAAAGTGCCTAGCAAGGTTTGACAGAACAGCAGGCCGCCTCGCTCGTAGTGGGCACATGCCATTGTACTGCGTTCACCCAGTGCCCAACGCAGCTCAGCGCAGCGAGAGAATCGTGCCAGGAGATCTGGATAGCTGGTCGCGAAGTAAGACGGTTGCCTCTGCCGAACTTGGAGAAACAAACGTTTCGTGTTGGACGGTCAAAGCGAGGAGCAACCCTACCACTGGTCGAAGCATTGCCGGCGCACCATCTACGACTGTCTGATGATAGAGGTAGGTAGTACGGAGTAGAAGTCTACGTCAACTCTACCCTGCCGTGCGTGCACCGAATGTCAACGCTCATCAGGAAAGGAGCTGCAGCATCTTTCGGATCGGCTCCTCGCGAAGTGAGTTCTCAAAGCGGTGTTGCTAAAGTACTTGCTGCACTGTACATTTTTAGATCAAAGGATAAGATCGGTACTGATAGTTTCAAACAGAGACGTCCTCATGCTCTTCACATGTTCTGGGGAGAGGAGTTTATTCCGGGGAGGAGAAGGTGGTGGCGGGAGAGTTGTGACAGACACTGACAGCCCCCTGAGTGCATCATGCGCCAGGAAATACGCGTGCCCGTTTTTGGTCGTGCTGACAAGCGATTGACCAGGTAGAGTGTGTTGTCGGGTTCGATGATATGGGAGTCCTGTACTCGGGGTCTTCCAGTGTTTCAGCACTGGGACTTGTGACTGGGAGTGGACATTCCGCACAGTCACTGCCATGTCTCATGGAACGACAACCAGGAACACACACGCAGACAGTGCACTAGTGACAGGGTATGGCATGGCATTGGTCAGTTTTTCACAGTTGGACTCTTGCTGGAAGGACTGTGACTGCATAATATTGACTATGATGACCACCACACGGAATGTGAAAATTGAGCAAACTGAAAAGCAGGTCCTTTGCAATCTGTTACTAATGGGAAAGTGCCTCACTGCTGGAGATCAGGAATGGAGATATGGTGGTGCAAACACATACCTATTTCACCAACCACAGTCACAACAGCTGAAACCTGAGACTTTATTTGCCTGAGTCATCATCTGCCCCCTAACTGAGGAGGGAATGTGGTTCATAGTACTGCGGATTCTGAGCTAGTTGGGAAGGGTCACTAGTACACCGTAGAGGCTGCACGTGGGAGTGGAAAACTTGCTCCTAAAAATTAGACCTGGCACATGGCCCCATTGCCGGGGACTAATGGGTTAGTAATTAGGTGCGTTGGCTGTGCTGAGTGGTCATGGAGTTGCATGCAGTGACTGACACTTCCCATGGAGTGCAATGGCCAGTTCATGCAGCGCTGCACAGACCGTATGAGTAACGTCCTTTGGTGTGGTTTGGAGGAGATGGGCATGCTGTTTGTGATGGCTGCTCCACCAGTGTGCCCTGACATCTATCTCTCCAATACCAGTGTGTCCTGACATCCATCTCTCCAATCCCAGTGTCAAATTGAAAGGATTACAAGTGATAAGCAGCAGTACTAAGTACTGCTGCAACTGAGCTATAGAGATGTTTCCCCCCAAGATCCCCTTCTGAGTATAAAGAAGGACGGGCCTGTCGTAGTGAACTCTGCTATCTCTTTTGCTTCAGGGTCACTGAGATTGCTTAGTTAGAACAGTGAGCTGATTGCATTGTTGACAAGTTGCTATGAGGGTTGAATGTGTCGCGTACCAGGCTGGTAGTATAGTCCTGGAGGAATGCGGCAGCAGGTGTCTGTGCCTATTGTAGTGTGGCTGTGAACTAGGCTTGCTATATGAATAATGCCGTTGGAAATCCTTAGAGATGCAACACCAGCGTGTAACTTTACACGTGGATACGCTCACTGGATCTCAAGAGCTCTGATACTGCGATAGCAAGCAGGCATGATGTGTGCGATGGTCACCTACCAGACTACTATAGTACCCTAGTCAGGGGCAGTTCTTTAACCCACTGCCACTAAATCTGTATAGGGTTAGGAGAATGACTTGCAGTCTTAGCCAGTGCAAGTATAGTGTTACTGTAGCAGCGTGCATGCCTGGCAATGTTGTACCAAGTAACAGTTTTACTCAAGCAGAATATCGTACAACTCACTCAGTAATCGTGACCCTAGCTTTTTAGGCACGCTTTTTTTCAGCTACCCGGCTAGAGGAGACGCGAAGCTGAGATGAAACAAAGAGTTTCCTGTCCACCCCGGGAGGCTGGTAGTCGGAGCAATGCATATCTGTCTCGGTCTCCTATTGTACGTGTAGTTGGACCAGAAGGTCGGTGACAGGATAAATGTGCGAAAAAACTCAATTACTTCATGTTGCTGCTGCAATTGACAGTGTCAGGAAGCAGGTTGTCAGGCTCACTTGCACCTACCTCTCATCAGGCCGTGTAACACACGCCCCGGTCTCCGGTGGAGAAACACGAGATTGTGATTGTGTGGGGCCGAATAGCTCAGCTATGCACAACCCCACAAGGCCCTCGTCTGTAGCATGGGCTAGGGCCTGTTATGTGTGCACCTGCATAGGCATGGGGATGAGTATCTCTGCCGGGGTACAAATGTAGCATTTTAGCAGTATGCAGCAGATGTCCAGCTGTAGTGTGTAGTGAGCACATCAGGTAGTTCATACTGGTTCATGTTGGCAGTTCCAGACCAACCAGTGTAGCGCCACAAACCACTGATCCATGGACAAGTGATACACTATCTGTAGTTTCATCTTGGAGTATCCAATTTGGTCACTCTATTTCAAGTGGATCAAGTAGGTTGTGTCCCAACACTCCACCACATTTACGTACAGCACTGGTGAAGATTGGGTATGTACTTGTACATAGTAATGGGCAGATTGTTTCTCTCTCTGTGTGTTCAGGATGTCAGACAACCATAGCCACTGTACAAGTCCTGGTACAATAATCATATTATGGCACCATGTGTGCAAGCAATCTAGCCTAGTGTATGTGAGCCACATTAGGTCTGCACTGCCACTGACTGCTAGCTCTGGATGGGGGTAAAGAGGAGATGGAGTTGTGAGTTGTGCCAGCATATCATGTATGAAGTACCAGTTCTACTAGTACCTGTGTTGGCTACAATGTGTGTACATGTTGCGATGTACAATGTAGTAGGTACACAATCCACACAAAAGGGTCCGAGGAAGAAATTAACCCAGAAGCGGTTGCATGCCTTCAAGTGAATGTTGGCGAGTCTCTATGCAAACAGTACATCACCTGGCACCCCATCCACCTGGCCGGGGTGTGCGATTTCACTCTCTATCTTGGATGACACTGACACTGAGGGGTGTTGAATTCTGCCCTGATGGGGGTGTACATTCTGTAAGATGTCGCCAATGGGCAACCGCATGGCAGCCATCAATTTGACAGTAATTCGTCAAGGCTAAGCTCAGTGTACAAGCAAGGCAAAGAGGTCCGCCAAGTGATTTCTGTGGTATGGAATTCAAGGTTCCCTTCCGTCACATGTCACTGGTCATGAAGGGTAGCGCTATCACTTTTACTGTCACATCATCAGTAACAGCCCTCTGGGTGAATTGGGGTTACTTCCTCTTCACCACACAGATGGCTACGGTCTGCATCTGTCAAGCATTGTAAAACTATCACCGTGTATCATAATTATTTAATTGTGTGCATCATAGAGTTCAAGTAATGTGATCAGTTCTGTTCATGGTGTGACACTGTGTGTGTGTGCGTGTGTGTGTGTGTGTGTGTGTGTGTGTGTGAGTGAGAGAGTGTGTGTGTGTGTGTGTGTGTGTGTGTGTGTGTGTGTGTGTGTGTGTGTGTGTGTGTGTGTGTGTATGACAGAGAAGGAGAGAGAGAGAGAGAGAGAGAGAGAGAGAGCTGATACTCACCTTGTGAATGTAGTGTCCTGCACAGCAGCCCTCCCATTGTCCATGCATTACCGGCAGTGGGTAGTGAGGAGGGTAGTGCATTCCCTCATGTATGATGTAGTACTGTAGCTATGGTAGTAGTTGTGAACATGATTGTATGCCACTCATGACAGTCATGTAGAACATCATGGTACACAGTACAGCACTCCAGCATGTGCCTGTGTCATGCCTCGCATCATGCTGTCCACTGCTGATTGTCAGACACGCCATATGCACAGTGGCTGCTATGCCAGGGCCACCATAGACATAGTATCACTACATAGTCATTACCCAAATCCCTGTCCAGTCAATGTCACATGCACACAAATGTCACATGTCAGTCTGAGCACAGTGCATGCCATATCAGTCATGCATCTCATATTTGGCAAATATGAGGCAGAACCGGATACTAGTATAGCCAGACCTGGTTAGCACTAATTCACCGTTAGACTCTCACAGTTTGTGGCGCCACTGTAGACAGTCATGTATCGTATGACAAGATAAGCTCGAGGTGCATTTTGTACTTAACATGTACATGTACAGTGAAATCCTGATGATGGCTCCTGGCCGAAAATTTGATTGAGATTTAATGAACCCTTATCCGACCGGCCAGTCAAAATCGTCGACTATCCGTCGATGACTTAGAGATTGTAATAATTTGAAATTTTTCAGCAAAGCGAGCGCTTACGTTTGTGATGATGTATGGGGTTACCATTTTTGCACAGTGTCAGTGCAGGGCATAGACATTTGCACTGATCTGTCCATGCAAATGATCACTTTGACATTAACAATCAGCTCGTGCGATAGCATTGCAAGAACTGACCGACGGTACTGACGTTCTACAACTAACTGGCTATCACCTATCAGCTCTGGCATGTCTCACTTTTTTATTTTATAAATAATAATAATTATTATTATTAACTGGTTTTGAGGGAAAGAGACAAACATACACTATTATTATTATAAATAATTAACTTGCTGGAGCCTTGGGCGTTGACTGCTGTGTGGTTCAATGGAGTTTGAATTTGTTTGGTCTAAATTTGACACACTTCTTTCTGTCTACATTTGCTCTGTGCAGATGCGCAAGCGACCGCATCCCCAGCTGTCCACCAGCACGCCATTGACATTCTTATCGCCTACCCCGAGAAGCCCGATCATGAGCTGATCGTGGTGGAGACGGCAAAGCCGGTCACGCTGGTCCGAGGCGAGACATATGACCTGGCCTGCCACTTCCAGCCCGAGGTCTCCAGTGATTGGCAGGTGACGTGGCAACGGCAGGGCAACCCCGTCGACAACTCCTCGGAGACGTACGTCAGCGGATGGCTGGGCACCGTGTTCGAAGATTACCAGCTGCGCTTTCAGAACTTCTCCTCGGACGATGCTGGCTTTTACCATTGCCAGGCCACTGATCCTAGCGGAGCGACGCGACAAGTATCCGCCATTGTCCAGGGTAAGAACTTTAACGTGGCGTAGTATGCTTCTCTTCTCTATACTGCGAGCGGTTCCACGTTGGTGCCAGAACCCGTGCTATCAGTGTGTGTAATACTTCTGCCTAGTTGTCAGGTCACATGACCAGGTCACATGACCAATGCCCAGTTTGATGAGAGGAAAACAAGGGCTGTCTTCATTTTGTGCAATGTGTATGATTTGCTAGATGGTCCAGATATAAACCGAAAACTGTATACTTCCACCGTGCAAAACATACTTTCTAGAGCAGCAGAAAGGAATGCGGCTGTATTGGTAGTTGGTAACATGCCGTGCCTCGTTCACCTGTTATCGAATCTTGCTGATGTCACTCACCCAAACCTAGCCTCAGTGAGTTTGTCTCTGCTGTTTGCACTGTCACAGTGGTACCAGAGATCGTGATGATGGGACTCGAAAATGGCCGAGTTGCTGAGTTATTGGGAGCGAGTACGGAGATAACCTGTTCAGCGAAAGGATACCCACCTGCGGCAGTGACATGGCAGAAAAATGGAGTTGAAGTCGCCGCTTCAGGCTCCTTGGTGCTCACCAACGTTGCTCGGAGCGATAACGGCAGCTATGAGTGTGTGGCAACGAACAACGCTGGCATCACCCAGGCGCGTGCAGATGTGGTTGTTGTCGGTAAGTTGTGTGTGCTTGTCACTGTGTCACTGTGTCAGTGTGTGCATTGACCCTCTTCGGGAGGCATGTGTCACTAGCAGCATGGCATGCACGGCTGACTGTGTAGGTCTGTGTCGTGTTGGACCTAGTCGTGACAGACTGTAGTTTGGTGTTGCATTGAACCTAGACTATAGTTTGGTGTTCTGTTGGACCTAACACCATTATCATCATGTTCCAGTCAAGTACCACTGTCTCCACAACAGATTACACCAGTGACTAGGGAAAACTCTCCACCACCACTGGACCATGACTGTATTACAAACTTGAGAACTAACTTCTTCAGCACGCCTCATTTGTGTCATGCTCCTGATAGCATGGGCCAGTAATGCGTAGGATGTCATGTATTTACAATGTCCACCCACAAGAACATCAACAATGATCTGCAGAAGTTACCACTGGAGTGTACACTCCTCATGGCCCCTGACTGACAATATGCAATGTCATTCTTTGTGCTATGACTTGTTCATCTATTTCCCCACAGAAAAGCTTGCGTGGATCGAGTCTCCAGAATCGCAAGTCACCGTACAACCCAATCAGCCGCTGACTGTCACCTGCAAAGCCTCGGGTGCACCAGCACCGCGCATAGAATGGGGCAGGTTCACCAGCCACTACCAGCGACTGACCGAGTTGGACGGACGCACGACATTCACCCTCAGCCCATCCGAGATACGCAATGGTGACTCTTACATCTGCATGGCGCGCAGCACGTTTATTTGTTGCCCAGACAAGAACGTACAGACGCCGATCGTAGCAAAATTCACCGTTTCCGTGTCGACTTCAGGTAGGTGGACCGGATTGTGTAGCATGCACTGTGTTCTCACCTGAGTTCTTCACCCATGTATGTCCACCTGGGAAATAAATACATCGGTGCTGGTACTCCTTGAAGCCTCGGTATGGTGTGCATGCAGCTGAGCGTGCAGCTTGCTGGACTAGTTGGCGCATTATAGCAGTTAGCAATGGGTAGCTCTGTTGTAGCAGTAGCTGTGTGAAGATGGAGGACGATCAAATAGTCCCTCTGGCATATCATACATACTCTGTATTGTATCCAGTTCTCAGTGATGCATCAATGCTGCTATTGTCTTGTATTGTGCAGTTGCTCCTACATTCGCATCACAGGACACTGACTGCTGGCAGAACGCCGACTGCAGCTCCGCTGACCCACTCCTACACTGGCGCAGCAGCGGCCTACTCACACTGGTACTGTCAGTCGTATTGCTCACTGGACGCTGTCTCTAGAAACGAGATACCGCTCACCTTATCCAGTGACCCTTGACTACATCTCGATGTCAGAATCCTACAGCCATGTCACCACACTGGGCATTCGGGTGCCATGTTCTGGACATACAAAGTACCGCACACACTGTGGTCACAGGCTATCTCAGTACACGGCTGCATGCGGCATGAACAGTGTGTCCGTGTTCTGAAAATACGTGCACCCGGTGAATGTATACATGTGTGTTTTGCCATTGTCTCCGTTCCCTGTCAGAAGACACAACTGGTCACGTGTGTCCACCAGTTTCAAAGACGTAATATTGCTCCTACATGTAGATATCCTGCTGGACCATGCACAGTGTCGACTTTCTGGGAAATAATTGTGAGGCATGGACTTGAGTGACAATATTTTACTGAATTTTCTATATCCCTATTTTACAATGCTGCTCCCATTCTCTGTGCTGCGAGCCTTATCCTGACTTTCCATGACTGTCAAAGCAATCGGACTATTCTGTTTCAGCCACAGAATTTTATTGATCCATATTGAATTATGTTAGTACACTTTACTGTTCCGGGTATGTCTTATCATCCTCTGCAAGTGTGTACAGCACTGTGTGCAGTTATGCCAGTCATGCCTTTCAGGGTATTGCCTACGTAGACCCTGAGTTGCTTCCCGGCAGAGGCATATTTTCAACCAAAGAAAAATCAATGGGACAGGGTGGTTCAATGTGTCCAAAATGCCAGAAACTAATTTTAAAAAGGCTAGTTGTGCCCAGGGACGTACAGAATGGTCTGAAAAGTGATTATCATAAAGTAAAACCACTCGTACCATATGTTACCAGATGTACATAGTAAGTCGATCCTGGGGGGGGGGGGGGGGGGGGGAGTCCGTCCCATGCAGCTCAGTTTTTAGGTCACGTAAGGTCGGCTTATAACGTTAAATTACGGTATCTAAACGACTAATTGCACTGCAACGGTGGTAGCCACGTCCATGGGCATGGACTGCATACCAGAGTACTCACTTGCAGAAACGTGCACACAAACACTCAGTATCAGTATAAACCACACAATCATACTCGAAGTACACCACTGCTCAAAACAGTCTCTCGGCTACTATTCTTTCTGGAGATGGGCCTGGCCCAAACATTTGGATTTTAAAAGTTTTATTGTTTCCGGAAGAATTGTGTCCGAGAGACCAGGTGTATGGTAATCAGGTATTATTGACAGTGGGAAAGATGAAATGGCTAGAGTGGAGTCTACACACCTTGTAAAGTCAGTGTAAACCACGATGCAGTAATGCCATTAAAGGGGAAGTGCATCGATTTTTCGAGTATGGTCCAGAAGAAAGACAATTTGATATCGGTTCGAATGGCATATCTTTCGCTTCCATACGATAAGCCAAACTTGCCAAATCGCCAATTGTATACTCACGTTGCCATAGCGACCAGCGCAGTGATGACGTACGAAAGGCTTAGCTCCACCACAGAGAAGGTCGATCACTGCAGAATTTGGTCATTTTCAATTGGTTTATTGTATTCACGAAGTGAAAGAAGGGCTGTGTTCAATGCTGTAAGTGCAGTGAACTGTTTGTTAGTAGTCCTCTCGGTTGTGTACTGGGACGTGACACCGACAGGAGAAAGCTGGAGCGCGGAGACACCAGCAGACAAGCGAAAATAGTGACGAACAAAATGCTGAAATCTTGGTTGGGACAAATCAGACGTTCAGCATTTTCCCCAACCAAGGACCATGCCGTTTGCTCTTTCCACTTCCTGAAGGTGAATGTGATGCTTCCTGGCGACTCTCCTATCTCTCGTAACATCTTCTGAAGCCAGGTGAGACGACGGGTGGTGGAGATTGACGAATGAAATAATGTCGTAGGTTTGAAAGTTTGCTGAAAATGTCTCAGGAGAGACGGCGAATTCCAAGCATCTTGTCCTGGAGGAAACCATTTCGTAGGCACAGTCAGCCTTGGGAAATACATGAGAAGGGCGACAAATAGTTCACGGCACTAACAGCATTGAACACAGCACTTCTTTCACATCGTGAATACAATAAGATAATTGAAAATGACCAATTTATGCAGTGATCGACCTTCTCCTGTGGAGGAGCTAAGCCTTTCGTACGTCATCACTCCGCTGGTCGCTATGGCAACGTGAGCATACAATTGGCGATTTGGCAAGTTTGGCTTATCGTATGGAAGCAAGAGATATGCCATTCGAACCGATATCAAATTGTCTTTCTTCTGGACCCTACTCGAAAAATCGATGCACTTCCCCTTTAATAATTACTAGTACTCATTGCATTGGGGATTCGCAAGAACAAAATCCGATAAACCGTAAATTTTCTCTCACCCAAAGATGATGCTCATGTCTTGACAAGCCGCTAGCCCTGGCCTGCTGGGGAATCACTATCAGTGCACTGAGTCGTGTTGTCGATGAGTGATGACTGCCTTTCACACTCGGAGTGCCCTGCGTCAAAGGCCTTTCCCGCGCCCCGTCACTGCCCGGACGTTCTCAAGCAGGGAGTCATTTTACTACTCTCTGTTCTCAAGTACCGCTTTTGCAGGTAGAACGCAAACCATCACGAATCTTCATGATATGAGGGTTCAAGGATGGCACCAACAAGCAACATGTCCCGATTTTCTCCACGGACCGGTAGGGTCACGGAATCTGTTCCAGGCAACCTCTACCGACGCCTAGTCCTGTCTGTCATGAAGTTCTTTTTTCCTTGCCAACACGATCATGATGATTGGAGATGATCGCGAGGAGGAACTCGACTGCGATCGCTTCCCCATGTGCATGTGGCCATTACACACGTCACGGGTGGCACAGTCACTTCTCCTCGACCCTCAGTCAATGCCCGGTGGTGGGTACCCGGGTAGATCCACGCCGGATGGCGCGGTTCTCACTAGTGACTGGTTCTCACTAGTACATCTACTGTAGGAGCTCTTCAAAACTCTTCGGAGTATGAGTAGAGCCTCGTAGAGACAACCAACAGCATCAGTTACGAGCAGAGCCAGAGAGCGATTGGCCTACTGGCTCTCTTCGTCGGCTTCACCAGCGGAATGGCGTCCGTACGCCACTGTCTGTTGGTCTTGGGCATTCTGTTCGCCCTTGCGCTCTCACCTGTCAACTCCCAGCCTAATATTGTGGTGTTCCTCGTCGACGATTTGGGCTGGAGTGATGTAGGTTTCAACGGAGCAGAGTACACCACGCCGACCATTGACGAAGTAGCCGAGGAATCGCTAATTCTGAATCGCTACTATGTTCCCAGCTCCGGCTCGTCCTCCAGGGCGGCTCTGCTTACCGGCCGCTATCCGCATCGTCTCGGTCTAGCGCACACTGACATATCGAACGGCTTCGACATAGCCGTTCCGACCGAGTACGACACGCTGGCGGATCAGCTGGGCGGTCTCGGATACGCCACGCATATGGTGGGCAAGTGGGACCTGGGCATGAGTCGCTGGGCAAACACACCCACGTTTCGTGGCTTCGACTCGTTCGTGGGATTCTACGGGGCGTCCGAGGACCATTTTAGTCACGCTAGCGTCGGGCATGTGGGCCTCCTCGGAACAGAAGGTCTGACCCAATACGCTGGGATCGACTTGAGAAATAACACCGAAGCTCTTACGGACAAGGCAGGCAAGTACGGCTCCGAGATTTTCACCGACAGGGCCGTCGAAGTCATCCAGGGGCACGACTATGACCACAAGCCTCTGTTTCTCTACTTCGGAGCTCAAGTCGTGCACACGCCGTTGCAAGCACCCGAGTCGTACGTGTCGCAATGCTCCGACATCACCAACAAGAACCGCCAGATGATGTGCGCCATGACCAAGGTTTGTGACGACAATTTGAAGGACGTGGTGGACGCCCTGAAAGATGCTGGCCAGTGGAACAACACTGTGCTGCTGTTCATGACGGATAACGGCGGTCAAACATCAGCCGGCAGCAGTAACCAGCCATTCCGCGCTGGAAAGATGACCATGTACGAAGGTGGTGTCCATGGTCTGGCGTTCATCTACGGCCCTGTCGTTGGTATTCCGCAAGGCAACTCTACGGATGTGCTAGTGCACGCTGTGGACTGGATGCCAACACTGGTGAATGGTGTTGGTATGTACACACCACCTCCACCACCACTGCCATTGCCAGGTTCTGGAGGCGGTAGTCAGGGAGGAGGCCCTGGTACAGGTGGTGGCGGCAGCGGTGGTGGTGGCGGCAGCGGTGGTGGTGCCGGCGGTGGTGCAGGAGGTGGTGGCGGCAGCGGTGGTGGTGCCGGAGGTGGTGGTGCCGGAGGTGGTGGTGCCGGAGGTGGTGGTGCAGGCGGCGGTGGTGCAGGCGGCGGTGGTGCAGGAGGCGGTGGTGCAGGAGGCGGTGGTGCAGGAGGCGGTGGTGCAGGAGGCGGTGGTGCAGGCGGCGGTGGTGCAGGCGGCGGTGGTGCAGGCGGCGGTGGTGCAGGCGGCGGTGGTGCAGGCGGCGGTGGTGCAGGCGGCGGTGGTGCAGGCGGCGGTGGTGCAGGCGGCGGTGCCGGAGGCGGCGGTGCCGGAGGCGGCGGTGCCGGAGGCGGCGGTGCCGGAGGCGGCGGTGCCGGAGGCGGTGGTGCCGGAGGCGGTGGTGCCGGAGGTGGCGGCGGTGACACCAGCAACGTTGTGGAACTTGGCGGCCAGGATGCGTCCATCCATGACAGCATTGGTAGCGATGATGGCCGTATGCCGCCCGATGGATACAACATCCTATCCGTCCTGACCTGCGACGATCCTCCAATTCGACGAGAAGCCCTGTTGCAATTTGACCCACCGTTTCGAATGGACAACTGGTACCAGGCGAGCTGGCCGGGACAAGCAGCCATAGTCTATGGATACTGGAAGTTGATCCTTGGTAGTGCCCTCTGTACCTGCACTGATGACCCATTGCCGTCAAGTGAATTGGAACGCTGCGACGATGGCTGGTTTACCAGCAATGGCACTCGCACCGAGCCGCCCAAGAAGAAGAGCTGGACGCAGCTGTACCACCTGGGCCGTGATCCAGCCGAGAGGTACAACGTGGCACGCTTCTTCCCGCGCATCGTCGACTGGCTGCGCTCCCGAATAAGGTCGTACGACCACCCACTCATCAGCCAGTTGCGGCCGGACTTCGATTCGATCGCCAACCCGGCAAACTATGGACAGATCTGGACACCTTGGTTGGGTCCGTAAACCAGTGCATCCTCTTCTTAGGCTACACTCATTCCAATGCTGATTCCTACAAGCTAGACTTGGCTGCTTCCTGTGGAGGACTTACAGCTAGAAGCTCTCTGCCCCCACTCTTGCTCCTGGCCGATTCTTGTTCTTTCTGGAGAGACGTGAAGCTTTCCCTCAAGTTGCGTTTCAACCTAACTGTAGCCTCGATTACACGCGTTTCCAGGTCCTTGCAAAATCATTCACGTACCCTTGCTGTTCATTGCAGCGTCTTTCATATACATGTAGCATTAATGCTCAGAGAGCTCCTCCTCTCCCCTTTGGCAGATTGTGTTTTGCAGCAGCAGCATTCCGTGTTCACAAATAGTTCATTGTACTGATAGTACTGAGACAGAGTACCTGTCTGACAGCGTATGCTGAAATTCACGTCTTCTCAGTGGCCTCGAGGGTACATGCGGATGTGTTCATAAGTTTGTGTCGATGTGTATACAATGTCCGTGTTGCGCTCATGCGCACGCCGGTTGTTTGTGTCTGTCGCGGCCGGTTGTGCTCTACCGGTTTGCACCTGGATCCTTGCCCTGCCCTGAATGCAGCAGCAGTTCCAGTCAAAGGCCCAGAAGGGGGAGACTGCCCAGGTACTTATTCTCGTACTGAGTCGTAGTCACGGTGTAAAATGCACACAAGTAATGGCTACATACACAATGTACATGTGCTTTGCAACCACTTGCGTGACATAGTGTGACATAGTGAGACACAGTGTGACATTCCGACACAACTGTCGACGACAGCACCTGGGGACCTAACACTGTCAGTAACACATAATTATACATTTACATGTTTGTACGGAATACATAATTTGCATAGCCTGTTGCAAAGGGGACGTGCAAACCTTTTAGTTTTTAGGTACAGTCAGCTTCGCTAATAACGACTGCGGATATAACGACAATTCGCGAATAACGACAGACTTTCCATGCCCAGAGCAAAGTCCACACTACCTGTATACATATAATGAGACTTTGGGTATAACGACACTTCGCGAATAAGGACACTTTTCTAATGCCCGGCCGAGTGTGGTTATACGCAAAGTTGTCTGTACATGACTGTAGGGATGTATTAAAGCATTGTTTGTTCTGATCGGCTGGCAGCATGTTACACGGCGGAGGACGCACTGTGTCGGAAATAGTGTTCCTGACTACAAGTAACTTAGTTCATCGGTTGGTAGAGCCCTGGTCTTGCAACGATTTGAACCATATGGGGTTTGCCCCCCCCCCCCCCCCCCCGTTCGGACCCTCTTTATTCTAGGGAGTCTTTTGTTTAAAAAATATTAATTTGTGCTTCAAGTCTGGCAACAAAATACTCAACTGATACCAGACTCACAGTACAAGAAGACTCCCTAGAACGATGAGGGTCCGAACCGGGGCCAGACCCCATCATTTTGGTTCAAATGGTCGCAAGACCGGGGGCTCTGCCAACCGATGATGGTGTTGTAGATCTACAACTAACTTTTTTTTTACAAGTCATAGGTCTACTACTTACTAGTCTTGTGTTGTTGGAGTCTGCCGGGAGTAGAGCGTTCTCCGCCTGTGAACCGATCAACAAGTACGGATACAGCCCAGGACACCCTGCAGCTAGCTCTGCAGAGCAGGGTGTCCTACACCTGTAGGCCGTACTGTACTAGTACTAGTAGTAGTATGTGCTCTGTGCATGTGAAGCAACTCCGACTGGCAGAGCTTCAGAACTGCGCCTACGGTCATATACCAGTACACTTGGTCCTGGATGAAGCATTTTGCCGGAATGGCGTCCGGCATCATCCTCTTCCTGTTCGTAGGCTGGGCGTGTTGGTCGGAGGTGTCGACCGCCAGCCCACAGCCCAACATTGTAGTATTCCTGGTCGATGATTTAGGCTGGAGTGATGTAGGTTTCAACGGAGCAGAGTACACCACGCCGACTATTGACCGAGTGGCCGGGGAATCGCTAATTTTAAATCGGTACTACGTCCAGAGCTCCTGCTCGCCATCCAGAACTGCTCTGCTGTCCGGCCGCTACCCGCATCGCTTCGGGCTAGCGCACACCATCATAACCAATGGCTTCGACATGAGTGTCCCGCCGGAATACGACACGTTAGCGGACGAGCTGCGCGGCGCCGGATACGCAACGCACATGGTCGGCAAGTGGGATATCGGAATGAGCCACTGGTCGAATACGCCGACATTCCGAGGCTTCGACTCGTTCGTAGGATATTTAGGTGCCGCGACGGATCACTACACGCACAAGCTTCCCGCAGTACCAGGCGTTATCGGTCAGGGGGCTAACGCCATACCCGGTACTGACGGCATTGATTTGCGCAACGGAACGGAGTCCTTGACCCATCTTGAGGGAACGTATGGTGCGGAGATATTCACCAGAAGGGGCGTGGAGGTTATACGCAACCATCCGTACCATCGAAACCCCCTGTTCCTGTACTTCGCCAACCAGGTTGTACACACGCCATTGCAGGCGCCGAAAGCATACATAGAAGCATGCTCGCACATTGCCAACCCGACGCGTAGGATAATGTGCGCCATGGCCAAGGTGTGCGATGACAATTTGAAGGATGTTGTGGACGCGTTGAACGACGCTGACCAGTGGAACAACACTGTGCTGCTGTTCATGACGGATAACGGCGGTCAAACATCAGCCGGTAGCAGTAACCAGCCATTCCGCGCTGGAAAGATGACGGTTTTCGAAGGCGGTGTGCACGGCGTGGCATACATTTACGGCCCCGTGGTGGGAATAACAGGAGGGCAGTCTACGGACGTGCTGATGCATACCGTGGATTGGCTACCGACGCTGGTGCATGGTGTAGGTGGAAAATTGGCCCGAGATTCATCCAGTCGTGATAACGATGGTGGTCACCGTGATAATGAGCTGCTACCCCTGGACGGCTACAACATGTTAGCGGCATTGACTGGAGACGCGCCGTCAGAGCGCCACGAAGTTCTGTTGCAGTACGACCCTCCATTCCACAAGGAGGACTGGTACCAGGCGTCCTGGCCTGGCCAGGGCGCTTTGATATACGGTGAGTGGAAGTTGATCATTGGCACACCAGTGTGCTACTGCGATGACAGGCAAGAACAGGCGAGTTCACGGCCGGGCTCACAGCGCTGTGACGACGGATGGTTCCTGAACAACGGCACACATCTGCCAGCACCGGCGAAGCAAAGCTGGACACGTCTCTATCACCTGGGCCGTGACGCTGCAGAACGCTACAACGTAGCACCGTACTTCCCTCGCATTGTCTCCTGGATGCGCTCCCGGCTTGCACATTACGGCGAGTCATCACCCCCGCAGCTCACACCGGACTACGATCCCATGTCGAATCCAGCCAATTATGGTGGAGTATGGAGTCCATGGTTGGGCATGTAATGGAGCAAATGCGATTATCTGAGCTTGCTGATCAACTCATCAAACTATATTCTACACGGCATTCTTGACACCCTGTCTCCTATTGGGTTGCGTAAATCATGAAAGAATTTTAGAGTGTGAATGTTATGCTTGTTCTGTAAAATTACACAAAAGTAAATACCTTTCGCCCATCAGTGGCCAATTACCCAGTCTCAATATTTCGCAATCCCCACATTCACAGCGACACCAAGATTGCAATCGCCTTCGGCTACTGGGCCCCGTATTATGCTAACGCTATGCTTCATTTCCCCACCTCCTGTCTCTTGCCATTGTGGTCAGACAGTCATGCAATGGTATTGACCCAATGCGACTAACTCACTGATTACTTGAAGTGCTGGAAAAATAATTTCAACAAAATAATGGCTCTGAATGGTGTTAGAGAAATGGCTGGCGTGGTGACTAACAGTTAGCTAACGTGATGTGTTGTGCAGAAGCATGCAGGTATGCATGCCGGCAGGGAAGCAGAGCATTGCACACACGTTATTGTGGGGTTGTCTCCCTGCTGTGAATGAAGGGAAACCAGCAGTGATAACTATTACTTGCAACGCCATGTAGACGTGAAGGATGAACAACTCATTCTCTTTTTACAATCTAGTTTACTCAAATCTAGTATAATAGGCGGTGTCATAAAAGTAATCTTAGATAATGTCTACAAACGAGCATATACCTGCTCCTCCTATCACCTGTATACTTGGACGGTGTAGATCTACATGACTTATCCTAGGTGTACATCTACAAACGAAGAGAAAAAAACCTTGGAAATACGGAGGATTAGCAAGACGAAATTCGCGTTCGCGTTCGCAAACATTTTCAGTTCGCGAACTGGATTGCGAACTTTCGCATTTTTCGTTCGGAAAAGTAGTCGGAACACGAATCGTGGATTCGTGTCAGGGCAGTCATAAATTTACCACGCTGCACTGCCTACGTCGTGTCAACATTGGAAAGGCTTCCTGTCTGAAGCCTTTCCATACTGGTACTCGATGTTCCAGTTTTGTGACACGAGAATGGCACGAGAATTAGTGTACCGCTGAGTGTACCGCTATACACGTGGTCGACACGTAGTCGACACGTTGTTGATACTTTTTTGACACTTGACCCCGTCAGCGCTAGCGGTCTGCTTTGTACTTTTGTGCCAATGCCACTCGGTAAACGCCGATGTCGCGTACGACAAAGACGACTATCCCGTACGCGAAATAGTTGAGAATTGCATGACGTGGACCTGACGGCAAGGACAACTGCGAGGAGGCCCCTTTCGGTACCCCTGACGGGAAGGAGAACTGCAGAAGTCGACGAAGTCGAACGAGGAGGCCCCTTTTCCGTACCCATACTGCAAAGTGCCATTGATGGATACCTTTTGCACCTGGAACGACCCCTTAAACGCTGTCGCGGCGACTATCACGTACGCGAAATAGTTGAGAACTGCTGACGTGGACCTTTTGCACCTGGAACGGCCCCGTAAACGCTGTCGTGTCGGCGGAGTGAATGTGCAGGGTACTACAGTCCATTCAGAAAAAAATGAACTTCTAGCTTTTGGCCATAAATGGGTCAAACGTTGAGTTTTTTTAGAATTTTTTTCTGCAATCCCATATGGAATCCTCTTCCAATTATGTTTCTGAAGTTTTTTTGTCCAAAAAGCAAGCCATAGCAAGAATAGGATTTCGGCCAGGTTTTGCCCCAAAAGCACTGAATTGGAAAAAACCATCAAAATCCAGGCCGTTTGACCCCGCCTGCAACAGTGCATTCTGCGGTTCGAACCCCAGTTCAGGCACCCTTTTGGACCCTTTTTCAAATTTCAAAGTTCGCAGCACTGCACTGTGTACGATGAAATCACGAAAAATCGCCAAATACGGGAGCTCGCCAGAGCCAGGACCCATTTTTTTCTGAATGGACTGTAGGGTGAAAAGAATTGCTGCAAAGACGTCCCCTCTACTAGGCTCTAGGCCTTTGCCTTTGGAGACATCGTCGGCGAACTGAATGCGCAGGGCGAAAAGAATTGCTGCAAAGACGTCCGCTCTAGGCCTTTGGAGACATCGTGGGAACTCCTTCCGGTACTATACAAACTGCTGACGTGGCCGTGGACATGTAGATCTACATGGAGAGTCATGGTGGGACTTCATGTACATGGATACATGGTGGGAATTCCTTCCGGCACCCCCGTACCGCAAAGCCAACGGTGGGGAAGGAGAAGTACAGACGTGCAGAAAGACGAACGAGGAGGAACCAGGACGAGCGAGCAATGGCAGGACTAGCTGGACCGTAAGTAATAGCTGAATTGTGCATGACAACTTGACATCCATGCGGCACTCGCCACTTGCCACTGCATATTTCTTGTCCACTAACAATGTCTCTCCTCTGCCCCCTGTGTGTCCACGGCCCTGTTGCTGAATTGGCCCGATGAATCGAATGTCTTCCGCAACTGGAACGGCCCCGTGAACGCTGTCGCGTCGGCGACTGAATGCGCAGGAGGGAAAATATTGCTGCGAAGACGTCTCCTCTAGACGACGGTAAGGCACCCCATTGATATGTTGCCAGTGTGTGCCAGGGTATCGCGCGATGATGAATGAGGAATGATGAAGGGTACGGTGGGACTGTAGACCTGTTACCTTCTACTAACACGTTATCAGGTGGAGAGTGTCTTGTACTCACGTTATCAGGTCGAGAGCGTATTGTAGTCACTCTCTCTATTCCTGTACTTCATTACGTTTAAGGTGTACGTATAACTTCTCAAAAAAATGTAATGGTCTACAGTCGTGTCGGCAGGGTACGGTGGGACTGTAGACATGTTACCTTCTAACACGTTATCAGGTGGAGAGTGTCTTGTACTCACGTTATCACTATATCAGGTCGAGAGCGTATTGTAGTCACTCTCTCTATTCCTGTACTTCATTACGTTTCAGGTGTACGTATAACTTTTCCAAAAAATTTAATGGTTCACGTCTTCAGATAGAGAGCGTATTGCACCCACTGTCTAGTCTCTGTAGTGCATTGAGATTTTGTTGATCGAACATGAAATGGATACACAGACAAAGCCAGGCCAAGTACATGGCGAGATGTCGCCAGAAGAACGTCTTCAGGTAGAGAGCGTATTGCACCCAATGTCTAGTCGATTTTGTGGATCGCACATGAAATGGATACACAGACAAAGCAGGCCAAGTACATGAGAGAGTGGACGATGTGCAGATCGACAAGGCCTGCGGGTACTTCATTAAAGTTACCCATGACATAACTAGGATAAAAGTTAATCACTGCAAAAACATTGCCAAGTATGTGAGCACTTTGGACTTGACAGAAGAGTGCATGGGCGACGTTGACAAAACATACCGCGGTGACTGTCACTATCATGACAGCAGGGCACATCGCACGCAGCATCGCAGATCGTGTCGAATTGCGCATCATAATATTGCAAAATTGCTCCTGTGCATGCAAGTGGATTTCATTGCACTTCTCAGTTTGGGAAATGCTCGATTATGACAATTCTCCGTGTGAGTGCACTAGCCCTGAACAGATATGTAGGTGAACCGTTTGTGGTGTCTCATAGCCTACCTCACGACCTTCTGCTTTCTTTCTTCATCACTTGTATCTTGCAGGTATATCATCCCGTGACGACCACATTGAAGTCTGAATTTGAAGTGTGAAGATGCTTCAGCAACCACATTGTACTTTTCCATTGCTTTCATTGTGCTTCTACTGTGCATGTGTGAGACTTGTGGGGTAAACATGTGATGACATTGTATGCTGGCGACACGGTCAGATGTTCATGCGTCTAACGTACACCTGCATGTTATGCATTGAAAAGGGTTTGCCACTTGCGATCCTGGGACGAGTATCAGGTCCGCTTTGTCCTGTGTGGGCTGTATCAGATTGCTGTTCACTTCTCTATCTGTTGGATATGTGACTTTCTGCAAGTTTCTGGTGTATGATGGTCACGTCCTTGCTTGTCACTTTGTATGATATTACATTCTGTATTCGCTGCTTCCATGGCATGGTCTGCAAACTGCAATCCTTGGGCAAATGTCATGTTTGCTATGTTCTGCTTTGGCCGTCAGCTTGTCTACACGCTGTAGTTGAATTATTTTTGTTTCACAACTGACTTCCTCAAGTACGGTGGCCACTGCTTTGCATGGCATTATACATGAAGAATTTCCTGTTTGTGTCGTGTGCATGTGCGTATGTGTGCGTAGCCACGTGTGTGTGCCGTGTGCATACACATGTTTGTGTATCTGTGTGCGGGGTAGCGAGGCGGGGAGGGCTGGTATGTATCAGTGTGTTATTGCAGTCGCATGGCTACATACAGTACATCGCGCGCGTGGTCATCATGTTTACCTTCGGGGTTGGGGTGGGGAGGGAACGGAAAAAGAGCTGAAATTATCCATATAAAAATCGCTCTGTGAGCGGTTCTGAAAAACCTTTACTGGTACTGCCCCGTCGTAAAAGTAAGAAATTAGAACTGGCCCATTGTCCCCCCAAATGCGAACTGATCCACCTAAATCGCGAATGACGGGACCCGAACGCACCAGTAGCACGAGGTTCCTACCTGTGGATGCAGATGGGGACGTTGGTCCGGACCGGTCGACCATAGGCCATGTACTGTACTAGCGGTAGGCTTCCCTATCAAAATAATAAATTCTACTGCTACTACTGGTGTTACCCTATGATAATTGCCGTGATCCTGTGCCCTCCCGACCTCGTGCTACTGGTGCGTTCGGGTCCCGTCATTCGCGATTTAGGTGGATCAGTTCGCATTTGGGGGGACAATGGGCCAGTTCTAATTTCTTACTTTTACGACGGGGCAGTACCAGTAAAGGTTTTTCAGAACCGCTCACAGAGCGATTTTTATATGGATAATCATGCATGTGCTTGTTTGCTAATCCTTCTCATAACGCGAATTCCGTCACTGAGTTCGACTTTCTTTGGAGAGCGAACGCGAACGCGAATTTCGTCTTGCTAATCCTCCGTAATAAGAATGCCTGCGCATCCTTTGCAACTTAGGCATGCATGCAGTGTTTGTAGTGCTAGCCTATGCAACGCCCGGCAGTCTGGGTACTTCATGCGGACAAGTTTCTCTGACCAGCACAGACTGTCAGTACCACAAGACAGTCTATTACCATGATTATAGACGCAATTCTAGGAGTCGTTTTAAAAGTACTACCAGCACAGTCTCCATCATATAAAGCGCAGTGCTTCCTTGTGGCGGCATGCTCGGAGACTGTGATGCCCCAATACTAACAGTACATAACCACTGGGGTTGTGGATTCTTGACAAAACATTAAACTGGTTTGCAGACAATTATTTCAGTCCTTGAACAGATAGGAAGAATCACCTAATCTAGCAAGCCATAGCATGGGAAATTTGATTTCTGAGCTAACACCATGTGAAGTGTTAGTCTGGGCAAGAGGTAATGAGTTGAAAAAGTATAAGCACGGTCTCGGTTATAAGCTTGGGGTGGAGGAGTATTGAACAAGTATAAAAAAAATAGTGCGGAGCTTGCGGTGCGCATGATGAAGAAAATGTACTCCGTGTCGGAGGTGGATACTTATGTTTGAACAGTGATAAGTTAACACCATACACGCGCATAGCACGGCCATGACGTGTTTATAGGCGGCTGATGCGAGAATAATAGCATAGCTTGGGGGTTGTTGTGTGCAGGCGTGATGTGTGCAGAAGAGCTAGGCCTGAATAAAATCTCATGATGCGCTGCATGCGTGTTCAATGATGACAGAAAATATGCCGGAAACAAGACATGCCGGAAACAAAGTGAATACAAGATCATGATCTACATCAATACATGGATACGGCAGAAACTCAACACAGTGCATGGAGTTGGTTCCTCCTACGTGGGGAGAGGGGGGAGGGGGCTAAGTTCAACACAGTGCATAGAAAAAAAGCACTCCACGGAGATCAGCCGGAAGACACAAGCTGGAATCCGCGCATCTTCTCACCACTGGTGTAGTCCGGCTGCGATGAAATGCTAAAGACGACTCCCGCGAGTAAGACTAGTATCATGCCGATGACGTTACACAGCACTGCCTCGTTGGGCAGGTCACTATAGCGCATGGCGGGCTTGTGATGCTTCGCTGTCAGGTCTGAGAGAATTGTTTCGCCATCGGAATGCGTGTGAGTATGACTGTTGCAAAGAAAACAGAGACCACACTCGACAGGATTAATTCCGGCACAATATCAGCATACCACTCTGCTGCTGGAAATGGCTGGGAGAGAGAAACTGAAAGAGAGGGGGAAGGGGACAGTGGCATGGTTGTTAACAAGCAAATTGACACCAGAAAAACCCCATCACAAGTGGTTATGTCGCCATGAACCAAAGCCAGGCCAACAATAGGGCAAGAAGACTGGCAAGTAACTTGGAACTACAGATCCACCAAAACAGAACGGCCGCGGACAACTACATTACGAATGCTACATGCATGCACATGTTTCACAAACGTACCAGCCAGACCCAGCGGAAATTCTCTGTATCCCACGGAAGTAGACGAGTTGGCAACAAAAATCGGCTAATGGCTACAAAGACAACTTTCCTATCCCTCTCTGACTTCTAGAAGGGTGACATGAACTTGATTTTCCTCAAACGGTGCCTCAAAATCAAAAACTCTTAGTGTCGCTCGCATCAGCTTGAAAATACCCTTCTCTTCATTCCAAAACACAACTGAAGCTCCAAGTGGAGGGAAGAACACGCCAAACGGCAAGGTCAAGTGGCAAAAACTTCTTGAATGGTAGCTTTTTTGTTTGTTTGTATATTTAGAGTCGAAGAACAAACAGGCAAATTTGCCTAATTACATGATATCGACTAAAAAGGAGAATAAAGTATAAAAGGCCAATGAAGGTAATGAACTGAGTAGAGTGGGTAATGATACTGAGTAGAGTGGGTAATGATACTGAGTAGAGTGGGTAATGATACTGAGTAGAGTGGGTAATGATACTGAGTAGAGTGGGTAATGATACTGAGTAGAGTGGGTAATGATACTGAGTAGAGTGGGTAATGATACTGAGTAGAGTGGGTAATGATACTGAGTAGAGTGGGTAATGATACTGAGTAGAGTGGGTAATGATACTGAGTAGAGTGGGTAATGATACTGAGTAGAGTGGGTAATGATACTGAGTAGAGTGGGTAATGATACTGAGTAGAGTGGGTAATGATACTGAGTAGAGTGGGTAATGATACTGAGTAGAGTGGGTAATGATACTGAGTAGAGTGGGTAATGATACTGAGTAGAGTGGGTAATGATACTGAGTAGAGTGGGTAATGATACTGAGTAGAGTGGGTAATGATACTGAGTAGAGTGGGTAATGATACTGAGTAGAGTGGGTAATGATACTGAGTAGAGTGGGTAATGATACTGAGTAGAGTGGGTAATGATACTGAGTAGAGTGGGTAATGATACTGAGTAGAGTGGGTAATGATACTGAGTAGAGTGGGTAATGATACTGAGTAGAGTGGGTAATGATACTGAGTAGAGTGGGTAATGATACTGAGTAGAGTGGGTAATGATACTGAGTAGAGTGGGTAATGATACTGAGTAGAGTGGGTAATGATACTGAGTAGAGTGGGTAATGATACTGAGTAGAGTGGGTAATGATACTGAGTAGAGTGGGTAATGATACTGAGTAGAGTGGGTAATGATACTGAGTAGAGTGGGTAATGATACTGAGTAGAGTGGGTAATGATACTGAGTAGAGTGGGTAATGATACTGAGTAGAGTGGGTAATGATACTGAGTAGAGTGGGTAATGATACTGAGTAGAGTGGGTAATGATACTGAGTAGAGTGGGTAATGATACTGAGTAGAGTGGGTAATGATACTGAGTAGAGTGGGTAATGATACTGAGTAGAGTGGGTAATGATACTGAGTAGAGTGGGTAATGATACTGAGTAGAGTGGGTAATGATACTGAGTAGAGTGGGTAATGATACTGAGTAGAGTGGGTAATGATACTGAGTAGAGTGGGTAATGATACTGAGTAGAGTGGGTAATGATACTGAGTAGAGTGGGTAATGATACTGAGTAGAGTGGGTAATGATACTGAGTAGAGTGGGTAATGATACTGAGTAGAGTGGGTAATGATACTGAGTAGAGTGGGTAATGATACTGAGTAGAGTGGGTAATGATACTGAGTAGAGTGGGTAATGATACTGAGTAGAGTGGGTAATGATACTGAGTAGAGTGGGTAATGATACTGAGTAGAGTGGGTAATGATACTGAGTAGAGTGGGTAATGATACTGAGTAGAGTGGGTAATGATACTGAGTAGAGTGGGTAATGATACTGAGTAGAGTGGGTAATGATACTGAGTAGAGTGGGTAATGATACTGAGTAGAGTGGGTAATGATACTGAGTAGAGTGGGTAATGATACTGAGTAGAGTGGGTAATGATACTGAGTAGAGTGGGTAATGATACTGAGTAGAGTGGGTAATGATACTGAGTAGAGTGGGTAATGATACTGAGTAGAGTGGGTAATGATACTGAGTAGAGTGGGTAATGATACTGAGTAGAGTGGGTAATGATACTGAGTAGAGTGGGTAATGATACTGAGTAGAGTGGGTAATGATACTGAGTAGAGTGGGTAATGATACTGAGTAGAGTGGGTAATGATACTGAGTAGAGTGGGTAATGATACTGAGTAGAGTGGGTAATGATACTGAGTAGAGTGGGTAATGATACTGAGTAGAGTGGGTAATGATACTGAGTAGAGTGGGTAATGATACTGAGTAGAGTGGGTAATGATACTGAGTAGAGTGGGTAATGATACTGAGTAGAGTGGGTAATGATACTGAGTAGAGTGGGTAATGATACTGAGTAGAGTGGGTAATGATACTGAGTAGAGTGGGTAATGATACTGAGTAGAGTGGGTAATGATACTGAGTAGAGTGGGTAATGATACTGAGTAGAGTGGGTAATGATACTGAGTAGAGTGGGTAATGATACTGAGTAGAGTGGGTAATGATACTGAGTAGAGTGGGTAATGATGTTGTACCTGCGCCTGCACGTGTTATCTCTTCGTCGTAGCTGCTGCTGTATTTGTGTCTCTGTGTGTACATGTGGCTGCACGTGTTGTCTCTTCGTCGTAGCTGCTGCTGTATTTGTGTCTCTGTGCTGCTGACCCGTACATGCTGCTGCGCTGCTTTGTTGCTGACCCGTACATGCTGCTGCGCTGCTTTGTTGTTGACACGTGCACCTTTTTGTGCTGAGTACACCACCTTTTGCGCTGACGAGGGCACCAATTTCTGATATCATGTTTTTCCTTTTGCCATGTCGTCGTCAGTTGTCCGACGGTCGTTGTCAGTTGTCAGACGTTCGTTGTCAGAGTCAGTTGTCCGACGGTCGTCGTCAGTTGTCAGACGTTCGTTGTCAGAGTCAGTTGTCCGACGTTCGTCGTCAGTTGTTAGACATTCGTTGTCAGTGTTAGTTCTCCATTATGAGTTCTTCCGTCGCCGCTGGAAGTAAACTATGAAAACTCTCTCTCTAGCTCTAGAGAAAAACCACTGACTAGTTCGTTTTGAGGTGTGGCGTGGCGAGGATAGAAGAGGCAGTTCGTTCTCAACCTTCCGAGACGACATTTGGCGCCCAACTAATCGAACCCACGACCCTGAAGCTCGTCGCTCTCCGGCCGGTGTTTTTCGTTTTCCTCTTCGCGTTCTCGCCATGGCTCCGCTTTGCTGCGTCTGTTCAACCCTTTCCTAGATCCTCGGAGCTCCTACTCAGGTGAGCATGCCTTTGTAATTGTCTGCTCTGCTATGCGTAATGTGTTGCCGTACCTTGTATTCGATTTCGAATTTTCAAATAATTGTTTTGCGTCGGGTGACTCGGGTCCCGTGGAACCTTGTTCTCTTGTGTTCGAGTGTGTACTCGTACTCGAGTCGTAGTACAGTATAGTGTAGTCTTGCTGCTCGTTGGAAGTTCGCCCCGTTGTGTTAGTTGTGTTGCTCTGACTACCCTGTACGCCTCGTACTGTACTGTTGTGTATGAAAATTTCAAACTTCTGTGCGTGCGCTACTCGTTCGAATCTGGAATTACTTGTGTTTGCATGTTCGTCGTGCATTCAGCATGGGTAGCTTTGATCTCGTCTTGTGTTGTGCACTTGTGCTTGTCACGGAGTTGCCGTCGGACTGCTCCGATAGTGTGACTGTGTCGCGTGATTTGTTTAGATGTCCACCTGAACGTTCTCGAGGTGCTGCCTCGTATGTAGTCGATCCATATTGTTTTGTTTCGTGTTTTTACCGTTTTAGTAGTAGTTTCTCCATGTTCTGTGTACATGGTGTAGAGCGTTGTCAGGCTCGGTCATGCACTGTCAACAAAGTAGGAAAGCTGTTGGCTTCCGGTTTGGTGGGAGGTGTGAACTTCATGTAGGATTCTCGTTCTTGATCCAGGTTGAATTTTGTTTGTGAGCGTATGGTTTTGTAATAATTGTGTTTCGGCATGTGGGTTTCTCTAGTTCGTCTGGGTGGGCGTCTGATCATGGTGAGCCACGGTCTGCTTGGTGGTCTGCAGGGATCCTGCGCTTTTTTGTATCGGTTTGCCTTGCGGGTGTTATGGTTTCCGTGTGTTGCTGGCTGGCCCTTGTGCGTCCCAGTCGGTGCCGGACAGTTTTTTTTCTTCGGTTTTTCGGTTTTGTGAGCGGATGTACTATAAGTTCCGTGTTATTCAGGTTCGATCCCTGCGGGTTTTCAGGTTCAATCCCTGTGGTTTTTTTCAGGTTCAATCCCTGTGGGTTTTTTCAGGTTAGAGACCTGTGGTTATTCAGGGTAGCGCCCTGTGGTTTTTCTTCATTATCTTTTGCGTATTGGTAACCGATTTGTTTGTGTGTCCTCAATGGTGTCCTCACTGATTAATTGCTCCTGTTTCAATTGACGTGTTCTTCCTGGCTGTTCTTCCCTTCCTTCGTGTGCTTTTCTGATTTTTGGTGATGGCTGAGATGTTTGCGTCAGTCCTTCTCTCTTTCTGTGTGTGTCCTGTGATTCTCGGAGTTTCTGTAGCGCCATCGGTTTTCGGACAGCCGGCCAGTGTGCGTCCTGCTGCCCCAGTCTTCTTCTCGGTCGGTGCGTACTGTCGGTCTCGCCGCTCCTGGAAGCGTCGCTGGGTCCGTCGGCATAACCTGTTTTCTCATGCATTTGTACT